TCAAGATGTGGTTACCCTAGACTGACTTAAAGCCATATGACTTTTTATTGACTGTCGATTAGAATAGTGCAGTCGGTAGAATACCGGATCTCTAGTCGAAAAGTCACGAGCATCCATCTCCGCCAGATCAATCGCATTTCACTCATTGATGTAGGCGAATGAGTACCATGAGGACAGGACAACAGCTAAAACCATGTAAAAGCAGCTAGTCCCGCATAATTGCATTCCTCAGACTGTGCGTTTTCTATTCGCAGAATAAAACACTCTGTCATGAAAACTGAGTTCAGCACCGCATCATTAGCTGTACGTAGAAACGGTACCTGATAATATCTCTTATGGAAATTTAAGTGCGATGGACATCTCAGCAGTTTCTAACTTTCCCTTTTACTCTTCAACCAATCATTTTGCTTTTCACAGAAACCCTTCACTGCTGTAGTAGCAGCTGAAAAAAATATCTTTGGATGCCTTGGCATCGTACACGATATCTTACTTTGGTACTGCCCGTTATAGATGGGGTCTCCAAAGTGATCTTTATCAACTGTGGTATTTTAACGCAACTCTGTTCGCTATTACACGTCGCAAAGTATTCTTATGTGAAGGCTATCGAGACCTCACTTATGGACGAAGTCAACGTAAATATTGAATTATAGACAAATACGTAATCATGAAAAGAGGAATGACCTCGTCTTACATTTTGTCATAGGCTTTCACAAAGCTGTCGGTGATCCTATGATAATTGGAAGGGAGCTGTCAGTTGCAAAGCGTTCAGTAAACTTTGCAGACTTAATCGGTTTTGCAGTACACCAAAGATCAATGCTTACCTCAGACTGACTAACAACAGTGCAGTAAGGCAGAGGGTCAGTTACATGAACGACAAATATACTTACGTGGGCTAAAGCGGGATACAGATGGCGTGATGAAGTCGCGTCTGTCGTGACCGACCTGTGAATGAGGATCGACAGGGCTGTGCCGGAGGATCGATCTGCGAATCTGAGAGAAAGACGGTGACATCACACCCTAATTGTGACTGTAGGTCGTGTGGCACAAGAGGCGCGTGGCGCATTGTGAGCGTGAGTTATGGACACGGAGTCGGCGACGCCGTATGAGGGCCAGCATGCTGTCCGTTTTGCGTGTCTGTCTGCCGGGCGGGAGGGCGGTCAGCATTTGCTCAAGCGACGGCGACGGCTCAGGTCAATTGATGGAAAGCTGTCAGTGCATCATCGATCTCCTTGTGTATTACTACAACGTGACGGTGCGACGACGAGTCTCGGTCATCGGCACGTGCTTTCGGGGCCAGTCTAGGAACGGACACATCTGCTTCCTGTGCGCTCTGCCGAGACTGTCGACACACTTTCGTCGGAGGCGACATGAGGACAACTGCTTCGGCCCCGCTCGGTGGTCCAGCGATACAAATAGCAGCGGCCGCAGGCCAGCACCGACCATCTGCTGCCTCACTTTACGCCTTAAGCCTCCCTCCTTCGAACCATGGTCATTTCCGCACCTGGTTCCTAACGATCTACCGACCTTAAAACGAATGGTCGACATAAAACCAGTGACTATTCATGTTATTCGATGATACTTGATACGTCACTGCTGTTGTAGTCCAAACCAGCAACGCTAACGGGTGCTGTTGTTCTCAGTGTTTCTTCTTCAAGCCTTCTACGAAAATGGTTCTCCTAATCGCTGACAACCACATGGCTAAAATATGACATTGTCTAACGACACCTGGAGTTTTGACCATTGTTTAATGCAAACACCTCTAAGGTTTTGTGATTCGTTTTTTTGAAGTACCGGGAGTCTTAGCTCTTAATGAAAAAATTGGTTACTCAAGTAAAAGTGTTTTATCTGAACTCATAACTGTAAG